AATCTCTTATTTAATTGGTTATAACTTAAATTTACAATCTTACGTAGCGCGTTAAGAAAATTAAAACCTACGTGGCTCTCTTAAAACTCGGGGAAAAACTCCCCTTTATATATATATATATATATATATATATATATATATATATATATATATATAAGATTTCTAGTTATTGAATTTTAGTGTTATTATTATAAAGTAATCAATAAATACATAGTAAAAGCTATAGTGTCAATCCTTGTTGAAGCAAAAAAAACTTTTGAAGAAAAAATACAATGACAAAGAATGATACGAAGTATGGAGTAGTACATTATTCTAATACATTACCTTATATGTTTGTTTATCATAGAAAAGTACATATTATAGATATTTTGAAAGATATGAAAATAGAATATATTTCGTATATAGTTGCCAAATTGAAAGTTAAATATTATAGGATATATAAATTAATATTAATGAAGATTTTGTACAAAAAGAAAAAAAAAAAAGGAAAGAAAAAAGTGGTGGGAAATTTTTTAATTTGAACATGACAAGTGTAATGTCAGATTCGCTTTTAGTATTATGTAATATATATATATATATATATATATATATATATATATATATATATTCTCTACTCTACTTTTCTCTACCCATATCTGATTCATATATATATATTCCCTACTCTATTTTTTTATTCCCATATCTGATTCAAAATGGTCAAATTTGCAAAAAATTATCATATTTTGTGATTTAAATAATAGACTGGGAGAGATTTTGTGTGGAATAATATAAATTTATATTTTTAATTTTTACTAATATACAGCAAAATATAGGAAAATTTGCGAGAAAGGTCCTTTTAACTGGCCGACCTTATGAGGAAGGCGCTTTTATAAAAAAAGGTGGCACAAAAGCTCCCTATATCTCACTTGGGTTGTAGGGAGGCCAGGGTCCGGAAGTCACGTGCATAGCACGTAACAACTTAAGTTACTTTTTTTATTCTTTATGTTTTCCTTTTCCTTCTTTTTCCCTTGATTTCCCTCTTATGAGATAGATGAGATTTGACCTTGTGACATGTGTGTTACACTGGTTCTTAATACGGAGTACTATGTTAAAGGATTGATTTATATACTCTATATCAGATATAAGTATCACACATGTCAACTAGGGCTTTTGTTTGATCAATATGTCAAATTAGTTTCAATAAGATATTCTTTGATCAAGTTCAAGTGAATAATTTTTTACCCCTAGGTTTGACCAAGAATTATATATTTGTAAAAAAAAATAACTACCGTACCCCTAGGAAATTTGAATTTATATGAAACACTAGCAACTTGTAAATAATGTTATGAACAAAGCAAAGTCAAACATAGGAAATCCAAGAACAGTAAAAAAGGAATATTGACTTTAAGGATAGAAATATATGATGTGGTGCAAAAATCAAGGGATTAACTTGAGTTTTAAAGCAAATAGTGGCTGGAGAAGATCAACAAGGACAAGCTAACGTATAGGGGGAAGGTTGAGGTTGTTACAAAAGTAGAAAAACCAAACACAAATTAATTTCACTTGTACTATATAATATACAATCATACCTTATATTATATTATTTGACCAAAGAATTTATTCTTCTTAAGAAGATCGTGAAAAGATTTAGGAGAGACATCCACTTCTTCTTCACTATCTAAACTTGCCACTTGGATTCACTTTTCTATCTTATTAAGGTTAATTAGTTTTGGCCTAATTAATTAATAATTACTTTTTTATATGTAAGAAAACTTCTAGTTAATGGCTGCTAATTGGCAACTTTCTTTGCCTATTTTGACACCTGGCTTATAATGATGTAATCATGTTTTTATTGGATTGACAAATCATCATTATTTCAAGAGAAGTAATGTTTTTAAATGAGTCAAAAGCTGTTGTTAGATCACCAAATAGGTTTCCAAAAAAACGTGTGTCAATTTTAACAAGGTGTAGAAGAGTTGTCGGAAGCCATGATATATTTTTATCTTACTTTGAAGTAGCAGCGAGTTTTTGTTATCGATGCATGTTTAAAGATTACAATATTAATTGAAAAAAATGTTTGGTCGACTCATAGGGCTATGTTTCGGATGATCTTATAGCTTATGCGTAAAAGAAAATTAGATGGCATACAAGTAATTAGATGTCATATTATTGCATGAAATATGTTTATAAAGAGCATGTTCATCAACTAAATAGCTAACATTATTAGCTTCAATTTACTAGCTAACAAATTAGTTTCATCAATTAGTTTTAGTTTTACTCTTTCCGTCAGTTCATTTTTTTTATCTTTACATTTTAACCATTTTTCTCTTATAAAAAAATTCTAAATGTAAAGATTTAAGTAATGGAGGAAGTAATATAGCCATGCATGGATGTGCATATTTATAAGGCGTAAGGAAAGAAAGAAAGAGATATATAAAAGAGAATTCTTGTGACGAGAAAAGAAATAGACGTATGAAATCACTAATCAACTAGAATAATATTATTGCAGCTAATATACAATATCCTAAAAAAGAATATGTTGTGAATAAAATAAAATGAAGTATGTGTTTTTTTGTTCGAGGTTCAAAGAAAGAATATTTACATACTTGAATAATTTGATGTATAATAGATTAATAATACAAAGTATACTAATAATATGGAGTAGTAGTAAAAGTGATTGTATGCTCAATCATGCCTTGCTGTGAACTGACATGTGTGTGTAAACATGAACTTTTTAGACTTTGGAACTTTTTGGTACACTTTGAATTTTGTGGGGATGAAAATAAGAGAAAGAAGTGTTACTTTCAGAATTAACAAAAGAAAAAAGTCAAAACCTTTTTGTTTGCTTTAAGAAATACTTGAAAAGTCAAAATTCAATGAGGCGCCTTTTGATTTTTGATACTGTTTTAAGCAAATTTTATGCCAAATTATTGATAAAAGTCGGTTGAGATGGTATTTTTTCTTGCTTAATCCTTTCCTCATTTTTTTTGTTTTTGTAGTTTTGTATAGTTGTTAGCATTAAGACTTTATAGCCTTTCAATTGGCTGTTCTATATGACTTGGACAAAAAACTACTTTGTGATCATAATTGGTTACTAATTGATAAGATAAAGGAGAATTTAATTTGCCTCTTGTGGTTACTAATAATGGCATTTCTCTTGGGTGTATATTTGTCAATTTACATAATTAATAGCTCCGATCCCTCATCTCAATATATGATGTACCCGTCCTGTATTTCTATCTTGTCTCGAATTAGTTTGTCTGCTTCTATACATAAAAATTCAATAATATGTTATTATTTTATATAGTTAATTTTTTCTTGCTTTCTATAAAAAGTATTGTAATTAATCATCTTTTATTAATATTAGCACGTTACTATCTTTAATTCTATTTACCTTATTTCATGGAAATAATAATATCATCACCTAAAAATCTAAAATTAAGTCATCATAAAAAAAGTCACGCATGATTATGTTGTGACGGAATGATTATGTAATTCATTTTGTACTTAAGACATTTTGGTACAATATCTACATTAGAAATTTACTTCTCCGTAGCACCTAAATAAATAAATTAGCATTTATTATGAGCTAGCGTAGGGAAATCTTAATTATTAGTTGGGTAATGGGTTAGACCATGGACTTCAATGGGTAAAACCGTGTTAAAATTAAATAAGCGACATACAATTAATTATATGACATAGTGAATACGTAACTCATTTTGTACTTAAAATGTTATGGTCTTGTCTAAAAAAATGTTATGGTACAATTCATGTTAGAAACATTACAACATACGCTGTAGTTCCTAATTGAATTGGCATTAATTATTACAAGCCAACGTAAAAATATCATATTATAATAATGGGTTAGATGTGGACTATAATGGATCTTTTGTACACAATTTTCTCTATACTACAATATGATTAGGTAAATTTACCATTAACCATTTGAAACTAAGATGTACATATATACAATGTAAATGTGACGACGAGAAAGTTAATTTAAAGTTGTCTAATGCCCCAGCCCCACCATGACCCCATCCCAATTGCTTATGTTCGTATTGAGAGTATAATAAAATTATGCATTAATGTCTTTTTATTTGAAATACGGTGATATTTATTTATTTACTTCACATTCCATAGGCAACTTTATTTTGGTCAATATATACTCCGTATATATTATATGTTTAGCTAATTAATCAAACTTATCGGTTTTTTAATAAGAAAAAACAAGTAGTCATTTTATGTGAGATTTTTAAGGCTCGAAAATTCGTCCATGCACCCATAGTTTTGAATTGATTTATTGCGTCCGTTTAATTTTGTATCACTTTTTTGATGTATAACTGGCTTGTACGATATACTAATTATACAAAGGTATATCCGAACTAGACTTTTTCTAAACAAAACATATTGGCTAGTTTTTTTGCAAAATAATCAATAAATAAGGGTTTTGCATCTCGATCAATATAGATAAACATTATTCCACAATATAGAATATTTTATTTTCTTCATATCTTGAACTATGTATTAGAGAGGAAGACTAAATGACTAATTACTTCATATACGTATTTTTCCATAGTCAACTTTGACCTAATTATTAGAAAGCTACATACAGTAGAAGATGTATATTTACTCGCTTTCAGTATAATGCTACTCTTTGAACTTAACAAAAACAGTAGAATTTCATAGATTTAGGTACATCATGGGGTTACGTGGCCCCCAAATAATTATACGACAAAAAGAATTAAAAAATAATAATAATAATGTGATGTACGTATATACTCATTTTGGAAACTATGTGACATCATAATATAAAATTTAAAATAATATTTTTTCTAAGAAAAAATAATTATAAGGCCCCAATTTCCCCAAATAGATGGGACACGTCGCTTGTATGACTAACCAAGGACGGCAACAAATCTTGTTGACTTTTTTTAATTTTAAGCATTCTCACCACTAATTTTACACGTATATATATACCACCTTATGCATGTATAACCTGCAGTCATAACTTTAAGCTTTAAGATAAATATTCAAAAGACAAGAACTTAACAAATTTAATACACTTGAGAAAATTGATATTATTATCTAGGGTTTATCTTTTTCTACAAGAGTAACGTAAGAAGTAAAAAGGCGGTCGAAAATCGAAAGATATGGGAAGAGCACCGTGTTGTGATAGAGATGGTCTTAAGAAAGGTCCTTGGTTACCTGAGGAAGATCTAAAGCTTATTGATTATATTCAGAAGAATGGTCCGGGAAATTGGAGAACCCTTCCTAAGAAAGCTGGTATGTTTTCGTGTTTTACATTTTTACATTCAGGAATGCCTTTTGCACTCTATAATGGCGAAATTGTATAATTTCGCCTGTTTGATACGTGTTCATTTTTATATCGAGTTTTTTCTAATAAAATTTAGAATAAAAAGGAAAATGGACATTTGTCGAATACAGGTGCAGATAGTAGTTATTTGTTTGGAAGAAATGAGTTTTTTTTTACTAATTCGAATTATTTTTTTAAATACAGGTCTTGAGAGATGTGGAAAGAGTTGTCGACTTCGATGGACCAACTACCTTCGACCAGATATCAAAAGAGGAAGATTTTCATTTGAAGAAGAGGAAGCCATTATTCAGCTCCACAGTGTGTTAGGCAATAAGTAAGTTTTTTTTTTTTTTTTTTTTTTTTTTTTAAAAAAAAAAAAAGAAAGTGAGGTGTTTTTAAGAACGTCCAAGAAACAAATGGACAGATTTTAAACGTGGTATTGTACTGTTTCTTACTTTGTCTCGCTCTATTTGTATAGGTGGTCAGCAATTGCTGCTAAATTGCCAGGAAGGACAGATAATGAGATAAAGAATTATTGGAACACCCACATCAGGAAGAGGATGCTAAGGATGGGCATTGATCCCGTGACCCACACACGTCGGTTAGACTACTTAGACCTTCCTTCCCTTTTCGGCAACCACCCCTCTATCCTTCAGAACTCCTCTGATCAACTCAACTTGTTGAAATTACTTGGTTTGCAAAGCCTCGTCAAACCGAACAATCTCTTGAGCCTTGCTTCTCTTCTCTCAAACAACCAAAACCAAAACATTCTTTTACAAAATCTTCAACCACATCAATTTTCCAACCCTTCTGATCAAATATTGTCTCAAAACCAATTTATAAACAACAACAATAATCAAGTTCAGAACACTATACCAACTTGCTCCGCTATGATCACACCATCACACAATACAGTTTTCGACGAAACCAACCCAATGAAGTCAAGCTTAAACCATCAGCAACAATACCCAACAAATTATTCAAATTCGAATGAGCACCACTTTACAGCCGCACCACAAACTACTCCTTTGGTAAATGATCAGTGGCAACAAAACAGTAATTCTGCAGGCTTCAGTTCAGAAGCAGCTGCAGTAAATATTCAAGACAGTGGCAATTACCAAGCATTAATGGACTCATTGTTAGACACCTTGGGGTTAAACTCGGCTAATAATAATAACATGAGCAACAATGACGAGGGTTTGAAGATGCCTTCGTTGTTATCCACGCCTAGCTCGAGCCAGCAGACACCGCCTTTGAGTACTTCTAACTCGGCGTATCAGCCCAACAGCAGCAGTACTACTACTACTACTAGCAGTGAAGATGAGATTGATAGTTATTGTCAGAATTTGATGAATTTTGATGTATCTTTTGATATCTTTGATAATAATGTTTTATAATAATGTTTTGTGTTTGTAGTAGCTAGCTTAGGAGATCATGTCAGTTTTGCTTGATGTATTTTTTTCGTTTTCGGTACAGTTTGTAAACAGATAAATTTTCTTTATTGTTTCATTGAATGAGTTTTAGTTAGTGGTGATTTTATTATTATTTTAAATATAGAACAAAAGAAAAAGAAAAAAAAGCACATTAATTTTGTTCATATACTCGCAAAGATATAGATGGGTCATGACTCATGTCTGCATGTTTTTAACTTGTAATGTAGTGCTTGTTAAATCACTTTCACATATTTAAAAATCCTATCATCGATTTTTATTTCTATTTTCAACTCATTTTGATTTGCCGATATTGCTAGGCTATACACACATGTAGAATATACCCATTGTACTGCACATATATACTACACAAAAGAACATTATATACAAGTTTATTAAAAAAATGTGATTTTTTTTTAACAAGAAAATGTGATGATTAGAAATTCAAAAAACATAACTTTATTCTTATTTCTATTTGTTTTTAGAAACATTATTTCTATTTTTATAGTATTGTTTAGTAATTTAGGTTTTTTTTTTTTTTTTTTTTTTTTAACAGGATAGTATTATAATTATTGATATATATATATAGTTAACCCATTTAAAAAAAAAAAAGAGTTTCAACTTTCAAGATTAAAGAACATAGAGAGTAATATTCCTTAAAAAAAACCGTAGGGAGTAATATTTTTTTTTTTATTATTATTATTATAAAGTTATTTAATCCAATTATTTATTCAAAAACATATATAGTGTATGGAATGTCAAATATTGATATTTAATTTGAATAATTTCTATGCATTTGATTTAACCTTTCCCCCTTCGAATCTTCGATCACTTCCATTTCAAACTTAAAGACTGATCTGATATTCCACAGATTACATGTGAAATACAAACACCAATTTAAATAATATAAAGTATCTTCTAATCTATTATTAAACTCATGATGATATATAATTAGCCATTTAGTTATACAATATCATCATGGTCTTTTTGTATTAAGTGTTACAATAAGCTAGCTACCACAATCAAAAGAATGATCTATCAAATTAAACTGCAAAACAACATATGGAGAATATCTTAATGATCTTAAAAAAAATACAGTATACGTTCAACCAAAACAATATACTCCATAACACATAGTTATTGGAATCACAAAATAAAAATATTAATTATAATTTTACATTATTTCAGATTCGCCGCATTCATCACGATTGTATTAAACCCGACCCTAGCTTATACAGTACAATACTTCGTACATTATTAACTATTACTCGGTAGTTAATTATAGATGAAAAAGTTATTACTTAATGGCCATGTTATAATAGTTAAAGTTGTGCTTTGGTAATTGATAGATGTGAGCCTAGGCTGCGCCCATAACCAAGAGAGATTTCATGATTACAAGTTCAAAACGTTCCATCTTAAAACCATGCAGCAATAAAAAGGAGTAACTCTTTAGTCATATATAAAGTGTTTAACTCTCTTATCTTTTATTAACCTGCAGTAGGACACTTACATGAGTTATTTGAAAAGATTATGCTTCATTGCTTCAACAATAATCATGCTAGTATGTGAAAATAAAACGTGTATAGCAATTGTATAATGAGCATCATAATATACGTCGATACATGTACGATGTACACAAACAAAAAGTGGGCTAACTACTACGGAGTAATATACCAACGGTTTAGCACCAAAAGAGGTACGTATAATACGTATGAATTGGGAATTTGGGACACAAGTCTTATACGCAAAAGCACAAAAAATAATGGCTCCAAGCTAAAGGTCTTATGCAACAGTGTTAACTACTAACTAAATACGTAGTCGTATTGTGGTGCAGTCACCTATGATGTGAACATGAAGGGCGTAGAGCATCCACAAAAATAGGATAATTTTTTGTTTGTAAGCTACCACTTTTATCTTTTGTGGATTCCACGTAACTTCAATTTCTTCTAGAAACTTGCTACTTGTACTTCTTTTTTTTTTTTGAGGGGATGCTACTTGTACTTCTTCAATGTTGTATTCCTACTTTAATTTTGTCCAATTATACTATGCATGATCTTAGTTTTCATTAGAACGTACAGGAGCCTTGCAATTACAAAAAAAAAATAAGCTAATGGAGACAAATTAAGATGATATGATTTGAATTTATAAAGGTATTATCCAATATGATGTCTTGGTGTGACTATTGTACAGAGTATATATTAGTTCATTTATACGGAGTACTTTGTAAAATATTTACAAGTACTCCATATTATATATTGGAATTTTGTTTAATTCATCTCACTGTAGGTATTTTATACACATTTATTAATACTAAATTTGAAGTATTTGTCGAGGTCCAGGAATATGTTATACGAAGTATACTCTATCAGTAAGTGACTTCATTAAAAAAAAAAAGATATTTTCCTGGTCTAATTTTAATACTACCTCCTGTTCAAATTACTTACAACTTTAGAATATTTTATATCTCACAAATAATACCCCAAAGTTATGAGTAATTTGGACCGGAGGTAGTAAGAACAATAATAAGTTTGTGCTAGAGGTTTGAACCTCCATCCTTAGCTCATGTGAAAAACAAAAGCACTCATCAATCACTTGTGCATGTTTGACAAATTAAGTTGTTTGAAAAGCTAGTAGATGCATCCGTGATTGATAATATTGATGTTCTAGTTGTTTCTGAGAGTGGCGATTATTGAATTTTCAGCCATTGCTAGGTTAATTGTTTGAGTGTGATGTTATTCTTGATGATTTCTTGGTAGTTTTTGTGTTGCCTCGTTATGATTTGTGATGCAATAGGGCTTTTAATCGAAATTGAGACACTAACCAATTCCGTGCATGTCATTATAGATGTTTCAGGTGGCTAGCGAAACAATATGTAAGTTTATTTGAAGCATGATTTATTACTCATACTTTATTAGCTCTTCAAACATTTTTCCCTTTTGGATATATTTTTTAAGAAAATTTTGATTTTTACTACCTTCAAATAACGGCTTTGTCGAATTTATCACCTCTAAGAAAAAAACATTTACTTTACCACCTCATAAAAAAAATTAAACATCAGTTTTACCACCAATCACCTCCAACTAACGGATTCCGTCCAAAAATCCGTTAGTGGGGCCTACCTTGCTCACGTGTTGCCATATTATTGGGTAAGTTTTAAAAAAATTAAAAAAAACAAAAAAAAAATTTAAAAATCCCCATCAAGCAACCGGTGGTTGCTGCCACCGTCGGGACCCCCACCGCTGGACCGGCTACGACCAGCCCCACCACCTAACCGCTACCAGCCACCGTCGGGACCCACAGCCACCGCACCGATTTCGACCTCAAAACCCTAGCCACCACCTAACAGCTACGACAAACCCCACCACCTAACCGCTACCATCGCACCGCACACCACAGCCGCGCCGATTTCGACCCCCTTTCCACCAATTTCTGACCTCAAAAACCTAGCCACCACTTAATAGCTACGACCAACCCCACCACCTAACCGCTACCGTACCACCGCACCGCACACCATAACCGCACCGATTTTTACCCCTTTCCACCAATTTCCAATCTCAAAACCCTAGCCACCACCTAACAGCTACGACCAACCCCACCACCATCCAAACCCAGACCAGAAACCACCGCCACCCAGACGCGAAACCACCGCGACCCAAAACCACCACCACCCAGACGCGAAACCACCGCAATCCACCCTAGCCAACCTAACCCCAAAACCAATCTAACCCCAGACCAGAAACCACTCCACCCAGACGCGAAACCATCGCGACCCGAAACCACCACCATCCAGACGCGAAACCCACACGAAATTCCGACCAACCGAGGTAGTTGATTTCGTTGGTGGTTGGTTGACATGGAAGATCGGGGAAGATGAAGAAGAAACGTCAAAAATGTGGACCCTACTAACGGATTCATGGGCGGAATCCGGTAGTTGGTGGTAAAATCGAATTTTTGGAAATTTTGGTGGATGGTAAATTAAATCTTTTTTTTTGGAGGTGATAAATTCAATTAAGTGGTTATTTGAAGGTGGTAAAAATCAAAATTTTCATTTTTTTATTATGATTTCAAAAGCTACAAACTGCTAGTATTTCATTATGTACTTTACCAAATATTAGCAATGTTTGGAGTGGTTATTAAGTAATGTTTTGACAGGAGTATTTATTTACTTCATATAGAAGCTTAAATGCTTCATGTTTGGATTTGTTTTTTGGTTAAACTTGACTCAATTCTACTAAAGAACATATTCCCTCCATTTCATAATGTTAGTCCCATATACTATTTTGGGCGTTTCAAAAGATATACCCATATTGAATATATTTCATTTATAACTTGATTTTTTTTTTTAAATTAATAAGTTGTGAATTGATGACATGACTCTAAGTAAGGAAATCTTTACCTTAAATTATGCAATTATGACTTGTGCTTTCCTAATAAAAAATTGGCCTATTGACTAGATTGGTAAATAAAAAAGACCCTTAGCGACAATTTGGTAAAAAAACTTACTCCGGCGACAAATTGGTAAAAAAACTAACCTTAAACGACAATTTGGTAAATAAAATAATCTCAGGCGACACTTAACCCAAAAAATACAAAAAATTTCGATAAATTACTCGCGAAGACTTAATATAGTTCCTTTTTCTTGTTATTTTACCAAACCTTTTTTTACGGAAATAACAATTTGAAGAAAAAAAACGTTAAGTATCAATTTTCACTTAAGTTTCATACCCCTTATTAACGAATTTTTTTTAAAAAAGGGGTTGGAAATAAAAAGGGATGACATGTAAATTCAATATTTTAAATGGAAAAAATAAATTTAAGAACATAAAAACAAATTAAAATAGGATTTTTTAAAGAGTTTGTCAGGAAAAAAAAAATAGATTTTTTGGTCAAAATGTCGCCGGAGTTTATTATTTTTACCAAATTGTCGCACATTGTTAGCTTTTTTTACCAAACTGTCGTCAGAGTAAGTTTTTTTACCAAATTGTCGCTAAAGGTCTTTTTTATTTACCAATTTGGTCAATTGGCATAAAAAAATTAAAAAGTTAAATAAGGTAAAATAATCATGAATCATGTTGTACTTTAATGTTTGATTCCAAATATATTTTTTTTTTCTTATTTTATGTGATTGATTCTATATGAGACTAACATTATGAAACGGAGGGAGTAATAATTTTGCCAAACTTAACACAATTCAAACTCGTCTTGAATATGTTATGTTCTAATATTTGTTAAATTCCTAACAAACTTTTGTAAATGATATATGACCTTTTTATTAATAAATTGACTATACACTTCAAAATAAAAAAAATGAACCAAATCCAAAACCCTACGGCCCTGTTCTCTTAAGCTTAATTTAAATTTATTTCAGTTCAGTTGAGTTTATAATTTTCTTCTTTCATAAACAATTCAGTTCAGTTCAGTTTCGTTCAGTATATTAGAATAGATCGTAATTCAAGTTCAATCTACGAGACTAATGGGCCTGTCCTCTTCAGTTCAGTTCAGCTCCGATTAGTTTAGTTTCTAATTTCATTCTCTCATAAACAATTAAGTTCAGTTCAATTAGTTCTAATCAAATCAGTTCAATTTAGTTTAGTAAATCAAAACAGGCCTTAAGAGGCAAATATTTTCCTATGGAAATGGTCCTAAACTCCTAACTCCTAAAAGGACCTAAATTACTCCACAGGGGACTACAAAGGAGGAAAAGTTTTGGGCTTACGGCCTTTGGATTTAACGTTCAAAATCAATTACAAAAAGAAATTATAAAATAAAATAAATTCGTATACTTTTTTCCCGCCATTCATCTTCATCTTTTCCAAACCCCCAAATTTCTCAGCAATTCACACTCCCAGAATTCTCCAGCAGCTTTCGTACCCTACGAAAACCCTAATTTTATCGTCAAAACGTACGATAATGGTAAGCTTTTAAGCTCGCAATTTAATTTACGATTTCTCCAGTATTAATTCGCCGATATTATCGATTTCTAGGGTTTTCTGAAGTAGTTTTCATAAATTCGTCATTCATATTCCATAATACAACGCATATTATTCTAATTCATCCTAATTAATTTATAATTTATTGAAATTCTAGGTCTATTATTCAATTTTGGGGATGATTATGCGATCATGCTGTTATCGATGCTGTCGGTAAGGGTTTTCGAATATTTATAATTTGGAATTTGTGGACATTTTGGTATTGCAAGTGATTGAAAGTTTTGTTTTACTTAGCATGATTTAAACTTTGTCATTTTCTTCAATTTTGCGTATTTTTATTGTTGAGTGTTATCTGATGTGATTGTTGGCTATGTAAGATTACCAAATTTTTTTGTGCTTTTCTACCTGCTTTTGTTGATCTTAATATTTTAAATTTTATATCCAGAGGATGAAGTTCCTTCTAGTTTTGTGACTTGTATAGGTCTAGCTGTTCGTGGCCACGTGCATGTTTCGAATCAATCTACCAACAATGGTGAATTTAACTCGATTCAGTAGCGATTTTTTAGATGAATAGGTTATTTGAAAGAATCTGTTAAAATTTTAATATTTTACTAATAGTTTGTAAGCTATTAATGTTAGGATGATGAGTTGTCCGGACACTATTTTCTTGCGTTTAATTAAAGCCACCTTCAAGTGTAATATACTTATATTATTTGAATCATCTGGTTTTTTAACAGGTTCTTGAATTTGGTTGGTTTTGAAATATATGCTTGATGCTAGGTAATTCTACTGATTATGTAGGCTACGTCACTAGTGACCATGATTACAATTTAAATTAAGCTATGAAATTAGGAAATAAGAGGTTGGTGGGGGTGGAAAACGTATAGGATTAAAGGAGATTTACGAGTACTAACTTTCATAAGGATAAATCCAAAGTGAAACTTCTAGTTCAGGTGTATGTCAGTCATTATATATTCTTTTAATCAATTAGAATTGGCACTGCTAGGTTCATCTTCTTATATTGTTTTTAATAATTTGCCTTAGTATATGTTTTTGCTCATCAAATTGCTAATTATGAGTAATCCATATAGCTGCAAATCTTGCAACATTGATATCTTATCCCAATTCCTGAACTATATTTCCTTTGTGCAAGTGCATTGTCACCAAATTTGTCTTCACAAAATTGTGTTAATTTGACAGTATTTTTTACTATAAACACTCCACCTCTTTCTCGCATTATACTTGCCTATTTGCGTTTATCTTTAGGAGTCCATGCTTCTCAAAGTCGCTGTACTAAACTCACACTCATTTTGAATAAGATATTCCTTTAGTTTCAATTCAATATATTCATTGATAGATCTACAAAGAATCAAAGTTATTTCCTTAACCCTGTCAAGCCATTATACTTCTAAAATGATTCAGACAGATTTCTATTGCTAATTAGCTATAGATTTACAAGTTACATGATGTATGTTATTCGAGAAGCTCTAATTTTTTTTTTTCAACTTCATAAAATGATAAGCACGATGACTAACAAAAGCTGTCTAAAATTTTACCGAAAACACTAGGCAATTATGCATGCCTCTAGGGAAGCAGGGGAGGCTAGGATTTTAAACAGTGACTGTATTATTCTGTGTTAAATGCAGAAAGGACCATCTTATAAAAACCCTGTCATTGAGATGTGTAACATGTGTTTTTCTAGGATCACAGAGCCTTTGCCTATTATCCCCCCCCCCCCCCCCCACACACACACACAGTCACACAGAGGATTCTAGGTTCTTACTGGCAATACCTCACTTGAATGCTGTATGCATATCTTTAATTAATAAGATTAGTAGTACCCTTTCATACTCTTAAAGTACAGGATGAAAGATGAAATATATTACTGTATTAGAATCTGAAAGGTGATAGTGTGCAATATTTAAGGTGTCAAGACTGTCAACAACATAGTTTATGTGGAGTAGACAACCAAGTCTGATTTTATAGCATGTGGTGACAGTAGACATTAAACAAAAAATATGTATAATCATCTCTCTGTACTCTTGAGCTTTTGTTGTCCAATTTCTCCCAACTTTTGTTGTCACCTTGGTCTGGGAGTAAATAATGGTACTCGTATATGTTAGCTTGAAAATTTGTATTTTGTGAACTTTGGGAAAATATATCTGCATCTAAGACTGACGTCTCATTTGCTGATTGTCCTGTGATAAAGCTCGCTCATAATCATAATTCATAAATTGGCCAATAATTAGTAAATTATAGGTATCCTGCATTAAACACCGATGATTGCAGTAGCCTGTTTTTGATATGTGAATAAATTATTTTACATCGGTATCTTTTTGGAAAGCTTACAAATGAGGCCACAATGTCTTAATTAGTTAAATAAATATTCCTGCTCTAAGATTGAGATGGTTGAATAATTGTATAATGACAGTGATGAGAAGACACTAACCAGTTTTTTGTTAAAAAAAAAAGGTATATGTCATCTAATTGTACCTGTTTTTCAAGTGAGATCTGTTTCACGACTCTCTATTATAAGCTTTCATCAACTGAGATACTCCATTTTCAGCCAGTAATTTTAAGTTACATAATTCTTGTTTGTAAATCTGCCATTTGGCTTTTGTATACAAAAAAATAATATTAGAAGCTCGCAGGTTCAACTGTTTGACGTTCAGAGATTGATCTTCTGTCATCATCACTCTGACCACAATGACCCTCCTATTAATCAATTCCATGTGTCTTAAAGTGCTTACGTGGGCGAATGAGTGGCCTTCAAGTATTCAATTTCGGGAAAGTTCTTCTCAACGGTCAGTAGATTCTCTTGTCCCCTTGCAAGTTTAATTTATTAGCAAGCCTCTATTACTTGTTTAATACAAGTAATAATTATCAGTTCATTGGACTAGATTTCTGACTACATACTAATAAACAATTTGCATGTATTGCTTTACATAGTATGAGCTTGCACAACATCCACAAATCCTTTGGATCTCATACCCTAAAATAGCTCTCAAATCATAATTTAAAACCATTTTAATAATTCATCTTAAGCAAACAATTACCAATCCCAAAAAAATATTCAACATTTGTTGAAGCTGCTGATCCAGCTCATAACAGAACAAAACTTTTAACATCATTTTTAATAGTATATCTAATCTTTATACATCAGCCAGTCAATATAATTAACCTGTTAAGGTGAAATGTACATAAGCAATCTCTAATATAAAGACAAAACTATTGCCGAATCAGGTATGAGAGAGATGTAAGCCTGGTATTATTATTCCCCTTAATCCTGCCGTTATCTTGGGTATAATATTAAACTCTCTGGTGTCTCCCTAATTGCAAGCATAGAAGCATCTCGCTACTCTTGATTATATACATTATTTAGTGTAAGCTGATAAATTTATTGGCGCTAAAAATTTATAATTATTATTTTCATTCCAAACCTTTAAAGGTAACTTTTTACACACACTAAGAGAAAATGAGAGCTTATTGAGAAGTAATTGTATTATGCAAAGCTCAAGAAGCCAAGTAATATGAAATTGTGGGGTTAACCATCATATAATATTAATAACAATAAAAGCCATATACACAAATCTCAGTAGATAATTAAAAAATTATTTGACCGTGGCGGTGTCTTATCTTGGGATAGAAAGTTGGATTGAGACACTTTTGCACATGATATTTGATGCCATGAACACTGTTCACATGTCTTCGCTCAAAACATTATTTACAAAATATTGTATTTTTTGTAGATAATAACAAAATTGTAGTCCATCGAGCCTGTTACTGCTTGTGAATTTATGGTGCTTATTTTTTATAAAAAAAAAATATTATCTACTACTGTGTCCCTGACACCTGTTCAAGCAGATTCAATAATGTTAGTTCTAGGTGACAAATCATTGCTTGTCATTTTACTAAGTTGCTGTTTGATCACCCAAATTCCTCCCTGTGGACTTTTGGGAATTTAAAGGAGTTGAAAGATACATTGTGTTGTAGTTGATTCCCTTTGATGGGAATTGGGAGGTGAATAAAATGGAATTAACAGTGATAAATGCATGCATGTTGTGTTTCTGGGACTTGGATTTTAGTCCTATCAAATTTGGCTATTGAATGAATTTTTTCCATGTTTTTGGCTTTAAATGAGTATTGGTTGTGAAGTAAAGTGTTCAAGTGACAGTTCACAATTGTATGGTATTGAGAATGTTCTAAGACATCAGTTGTTTACATATGTTGAAACCCTTCCTCATTTCATACACCCCCTTTAAATCCTATAGAGGGTCTAAATTTAATTTCTGGATTATGAACAGAGGCTAAAGAACTCGATTTTATTTTTATCTTACATAGTCTGCAGGTCCAGGATAGTTGAGCACCTCTTCCTACAGTTTGATTATAAAATCACTTATCGTCTTTTCTCTTGTGTTACCTTTATTAGTAGAATTATAATCAGAGAACTTAAGCATCTTTGAGGATTTTTTATATTCATATTGGTAAGAATGAACTTTAAATCGTTTACTTAATCTACAGATTATTACTACAGAATACTGACTCCTAAAAATGCATGTACTCCTATTAGCTCTTTTCTTGTCTTTAGTTCCTTAAACCAATTATCCTAAACGCCTTTTGAAATAATTATGGTATTTACATTTACATGTATAGTTGAATCACTTGAATGGATCAGACTTCATGTCTTCATCCATCCATATCTTGTGCTACCTTAAGTTATTCTGCTAACTAAACTCCAATTTGAAATTTATGCAAATTAAGAGCTTCTTTAGGCACTTGAAGTTTAGTTTGTAAAAGATGTTTTGAGTGAAGACATGTGAACAGTGTAGAAGCTGTTCTTTAAATTTAATTTCTATTTTCTTTTTACTTTTTATCCCAAAGTAAAAAAGAACTCTCATTTCCTTGGTTTCTGTTATACTAATCAACAAGATAAGCAAGAACACAAGAATAATAAGTTATAGTAAAACATCCAAAATTACCCTTTACTTTAAAATAAGAATTCACGCCTAAAACTATACACAATGACACCATGTTATACGAGAATTTACCCTTTTATTTTTCAAAAGAAATGAGACTTAATATAAGCCTTATAGGTTATACAAACACTTATGAATTATGTCAGTTCAATAAATTTAATTCTTAAAGATCATGGTTTGTTTTGGAGGTAAGTACTCTTACCTCCTTTGCAAAAGTTATTGGATCTAATAGTAATCTTTCAGATTAACATAATCAATACTAAGTTACAAACTACTGCAGCACTTTCCAGCCTTTGTCTTATTTGAACTATCCTCAGATTTCCAAACATACATGAAAAGTGGCAGAGTAAAAAGTGTCATGTGCACCCTACATAACATAATTTAGTCTGTCACTTGATTGATGCCACGTATACTCATGCAAACTCATTTGTACAAACTAATAAATGAAGGTACAATAATCCATGCTAGTTTTGTTGGGTGTACATGAAAGATTCTTATGCACACTGTTGCATTACTTTGCTTAAGGAGTAATACTAGTCTTACTAGATATCATTTGTTGTTAACTATAAGTTGCAGTAAGAATATTCTGGGAGAGTTTTAAAGGATGCTTGTAACGTGGAAACATATAATTGGACAAAGTGTTATCTTTGCTCCTTAAATAAAGTGTTTAGAGAAGTAAATAATATATAAATTAAACTAGTTCACATTCTAATTGGTTTGGTTTCCAGCAATCATGTCAACTAAAGTTTCTCATTTTGTTGTTTCTTCCTACATCTTATGCGCTGGAGTGGGTGGATGACTTTTTACATTGTTTTTTTCCATCAGGTTAAACAGATAATTTTAGACTGTTTTGTTTATATTAGTGACAGAATTTTACTTCTATTAAATTGGTAGTACTCCTTGTGAAAAGTAACCAATTATTTATTTTTCTGTATTCTTAAATTCTCCATAACAAAAACTAATGTCATAAATACAATAGAAGTGTCTAAATTTTTTTTGGGAAAACGCCAAAAGAAGAGTCTGGAGAATATTTAGGGAAAAAGGGAGTATAAAATTTAAATTACATAAAGTTGAAAAGTTTTTCTATTAGCTAACAATTGAAGAAATTAATAAATTTATCAACTCTTCTTTATGGTGACTATGTGATTAATTGTATAACCAAAATGATTAAGTGGTCCTAATCTTTTTACTTGTCTGTCATTTTGCAGTTAATTATTTGATTTGTTTGCAAAACCAACTTCCCACTAAAGTAGGAAAATTTGGGGGTATGGGGTTGCATTTCAAATTAAAAGATGTTTAGACTTTTGATTTCCTTTTTGGTAAATGAATTCATTAATTGGTGTGTTTATTAGCAACAATTTTCACTAGATCTTTCCCAAAATTGATGTGCCACCTTTAAAACATGATTTCTTATTTGCACTCTACGTGTCCCTATTAAATTACTTGCATTTTTATATTTAGTTCATATTGACTTTTTTGGTAAAGGCAAGGCTTTGAGGGTTAACTGTAGAGGTTAATACATGCCTTCTATCATTGGTTGCTTAATGACTATTCGTCGCATTGGCTTTTATCTGATCTTCTTTGGGACAAAATTTTAGGGCAGGATCATCCAGAAGAAATTTATATGGTTCAATGTTACCTAATTTGCTAGTTTAAGATTTGCATTCGCAATCTATTTTTGTTAAATTGGGCTTACAGTTGTGATTCACTTGCCTTTTATCATCTCAAATGCTACAATGGTTACATGAATTGATGCATAAATAAACATCTTGCAGTAGAAGAGCACCACTGCAGAAATGTTGGTCAGAACTTCTTGACTTAACATTCTTGGATCCTGAAAACAGCTAGATACAGGAGTATAATGTTGTTAATGCTGTTACTAGCTTACTATGCATGAACAATCATGTAATTATGTACAATCTTAAACTGAATTTTGTGTTAGTACTTAGCAGTTACTATGATGAGGGATAGGCCTAGCACGGTTGTGGATCTGTGGTGTTATCATGTCGAACCATTGTAACTTAACACCTCCCACCCCGCGGGAAATCGAATTATAATGCCAGTCCATATACTAGTGAACTAACACTGTTAAAGTAAACTGGAAAGTAGTGTCTTGTTCCTGCTAGTTTTAACCTCTTTTCCTTATGACTTGGTTCATTTTTCTGTACAAGGTTAGTATTTATTTATTATTTACTTGAGTTTCTTGTGCTATATAGGTAAAAACGACCTTGTCAATTGGAAATCTAAACTTTCGGCTAGGAGATTGCTTTATGTTTCATCCAAGTTTTTTTGGATCTCGGAGTTTTTGTCACCATTGCAATCTCAATCATGAGATGATTGAGATCCTTGCTTAAGGTAAGGCGCCAGTTTTGTTTAATATCAACTTTTACTTCATCCATATATTCAATGTGTGCCACCAAGTTACCTATGTTTCAATCATGACTGAAATTGAACATTATAAAAATATTTAAAAATAAGATATGAGGTTGTTTTTTTTTTTTTTTTGATAGAATATAAAAATGAGGTACTTGGTATCTCTTTTATTTGATCTCGTGTTTTGTCCTATACAATATCTTAGACGTCTAGACAAGAATTCACTTTTTAATCCAAGGTCATAACTTGGGTTTGATTCCTAAAAGCCGATGTTCTTAGGGGTAGGATTCCCCTGTCTTTTTCACCTCACTCCCAATGGTTTGGTATGTTAAGACTAAACTGATTCCCAATATCATGATTTACAGGTCAAGTCTAGTTGGATCCTTCGTCGTCCTATATCTAGCTCTATAGTAATTTCTTCCAATGTATAAATTAACCATTAAGGTTGGGGTACTAGGTAGAATGTAGAACTGGTGGTTTCTTACCTACCTTACAAAAGTGGTTAAAAACAAAGTTATATACCGTAAAAAGAAAAGTTATGGAGAGTTACTTCATGACTTCCCTCAAACCAATTAAATGCTTTCAATTCTTTGCATGATAGACCTCTATTATTGATTGCTCAAATAAATTACTGCTATTATATGTACTCCAATACATGTTATATATCATTATAATAAAGAAACCCAATGAAAAGCACACAACAAATCCACTTTAAGCCAATCTTATACTAACTAATGACAATTATTATTAGTTTGTTCTATGGTTTGTGATTGGTAGCGGCATACCTTGGCTCGGCCCAACATTGGCTATTCATTAGGGGCTAAGCATTGAGATTTGAGGTCAAGGATAATTTTTTTTAAGGGGTCAATTTTCTATACAGGTACATGAACTTCTAATTCATCATCATTAATAAATTTTGGGAACCTTTCTTGAAAGGTGAAATTTCAATTCATTGGTCTGTTTCCTTTGGATGGATCTCTTCTCTCATAAAGTTTTAAGTTTTTTAAAAAATTATTTTAGCTGTTTTTTTTGTCACTATTATTTTTTCTATGAAACCAATCACATCAAGGTAGAATGTGGTAGCGTAAAAAGTAAAATTACCTTTGCTTCGTTAATCTAGTCAACTAATGCACAAGATATATAAGGCAGTTTAGTTAAACTTACTCTGTTTTTATTGTTATATATTGACTTTTACATTGATCCTATTGTAATTTAGCCTAATTTCTACTAAAATGTGAAAGCAATTGTTATACATATGTAAACTATTGTTGATTTGGGGCCTGTTCTCATTTACTAAGCTGAACTGCTTATGAGAAAATGAAATTAGGAATTGAACTGAGCTGGATTGAACTGAACTGAACTAAAATTATATTGAACTGAAGAGAACAAACCCTTGTATCACTATATATATTTTCAAAATATCAACATTTAATTTTTTACTTGTAATTATATAGATATAAAAGTCAATGTTGTGCATTAACAAATGTGGAATGATAAACTTTGTTATATTTGCATTTCTTAATTATAAGAAATTATCATATGAAAAATAAGGCCAGAAGAAGGAATTAACCGTGGAGATCAAATAATAACATGAAATTAGACCAAATAATGGCAAGTGACTCAAGTTGGCTGATTAGGATAAATTGAAAAAACCATTGTGATTATGAAACATGGTAGAACTGTACAAAGTAATGAAAAAAGGAATAGGATTATAAATTGAAAAGTTAAAAATAAATAAATAAATAAATAAAATAAATGTAGTTTGAAACAATTAATAAAATTGATGGATTACACAAAGTATTCTGTATGTAATAGGAGTATAATTTATAACTCCGTTGTAACGATTGCTGACTTAATTATAAAAAATTCAACGATTCATATGTAATTAGAATACAGAGTACCTAACTTTTAATTTTAGGAAATGATCCGCAGTTTATTATTTTTACTACGGGTACATAATATTGTTTGGATGAGCATTTACTAACTGCTACTACTAATTACTTGTATAATTAAAATTATTCATTCACCTAAGAATTGCCTTTTGCTTTTCAATTAGAATTTGCAAATATTCTTGTTAACATGCAAAAAAGAAATCTTGAAGTCAAAAGCTCACCCTAATTTTTTTTATTTTTTTTAACTTAAATTATTCGAATCACTCCCAAATCTGAATTTGCATTCAAATCGATTTTTTCTTATAGCCCACTCGGCCACTCCGTAACTCAGTCAAATGTTGAATACAATTTTCAATGTCCTCTTCCCCCTACCATTTTGATGTCCTTGTCAATGCCTTTTTAATTGTGAACATGATACGGAGTACTTCTTTTACTATCCATAGTCCGTATCATATGGTAAAGTGAGAAATAGTGAAATTTTTATAAATTTAAATGTCCTCTTCCCTCTATCTTTTGTGACCTTTACCAAACTTACGAGTCTACTTAATAATGATATACTACTTCGGTTTTATATTATTTGCAACAATTTGACGTAAAATAGAGAGAAAAAATGTCTAATCGTTGTTAATAATATGAAATGGAGATAGTATAATTTTCGAAAATAAAATTACCACTCCTTCCCAATCCCGTAATTAATGCAAGACTGCAAGTACATAGAAATCTATATAAAGTGTTATTGTGATGTTTTTTCAAGCTAATACCGTATTTTGTGATAGTATAATATTACTTCTAAATGTTTTTTTTTGGGGTGTGTGTGGGGGAGGGGGGGTAGAGAGCCGCATGCAACAACAATAAGGTAGGCTAATTTAATTTAACCAACTAACCTAGTTAAACTCAATACTCCTCAATGCCCTCATTTTTTTACTTTGATTGTGGCAGATACATAGTACTCTGTAGTAAACACTATCTCCGTTTTATATTATTTGCAATAAAGAAATATTTTGTATCTTATTAGGAGTACCTTTTACTACATATAATACAAAACAAAGGGATTATGTTCAAAATATCTCTGACCAACGGATAACCTAGATTAAGCCCTTGTAAATAAGATAAGCATAAATCACGTAAGAATAATAAATAGGGAGGGGGAGAGAGAGTAGGGTCTACAGTTGTAGTAAAGCAATAGGAGGAAGATCTTACCCGTCTTGAAAGCCATGTACGAGTAATAATGTAACGCAAAAGGTCTTTAGAAAAGCGTCATTTGACGCTGAGCGGGATAGGGGTTACGTGGCAATTATAGCGTTGATGACAGCTAATATGAATCCTCAAAGCAAGCACAGAGTCTCTGCCGGAAAATGATAGTACTCCTTTTCTTTGTGTATGCATATGATGCGTATCAATTTCATACAACTCAACTCATTATTAATCTTTATTATTATATTATTATTTTTGATGAATCAGAATATTTAAACAAAATACTACCTCCGTTAACAGTTATTTGCAACAAAGGGAGGTAGCACGGACTCCTAGGCAAAACTTTTAGACGATGATTATTAAAAACTAAGGGCACTTGATTAAGTACTAATCCTACCTAAAAAAAAAAAAACAAAAACCTATAACCACATAAACCCAGAACTAGAACAATCAGCGATAACCACCAGACCACCGCCGACAACCATCAGACCCCCGTCGACAACTAGAGACACCAAAACCCAACCACGAACCCAACAAACCACCCACGAACCCATCAAACCACCACGAACACATAAAAACCCATAAAACCTCCACGAAGAAATTTTCGAAAACCACCAGACCACCGCCGACAACCACCAGACCACTGCCGAAAACCATAGTGTGTGGGAAGAGATCGTCAATTTTCGAAGAAATTCCATCGCCATCTTCGAAGCGAATTCGGTTTTCTTCTTCTTCTCCGGTTCGATAACCACCACAACCCAAAAAAACCACCACGAAATCTGATTAAATCGAAACCACCACGAATTGAATTTACTCCCAGTTAAGCCACCAACATGAAACCAGATCTAAAACCAACCACACGAAACTCACGCCACCCCTACAAACCAGATCTGAAACCCATCCCCATGAAACTCACGCCACCCCCACGAACTAGAACTGAAACCCCTAAAAACCACCCCCACGAACCAGACGAACGCAATTCCATGAATTTGAACCCACGACCACACGAACCTAAATCGCAAGAGAAGATGAGATGAATGATTTTGATGAAATTGATTTTGATGAGAAATTAAAGAAGGGTGAGGGAGATGAATGATTTTGATGAGAAATTAAAGAAGGGTGAGGGAGATGAATGATTCTGATGGATATGAACGGTGAGGCAGATAATGATTTTGATGAAGATGAATGATTTTTGGTGAAAATGATTACAATAATCAGATTCATTAGGTAAAGAGTTAAATTAAGTTAGTGATTTAATTAGATGTTTAAGTTGTTTAAGTAAGGGTAATATGTTCATTTAATTGGCAAAAAGTTACTAAAAGTGGAAAGAAAAAAAAAATGTTGCACATAATAGATAGCAACCGAAAATGGCAAATGTTGCAAATAACCGTTAACGAAGGTAGTATAAATCTTATTATCTACTAAGTGATATAATGATTTGTTTTTTCTTACAAATTTTTAGTTTTAGTTTTTGATCTATTCTTCCCTCCGACTTATGTTATGTTATGCTTTTGACTTTGGTGTTTGATGCGAATTATAATTTATAGAATTGTAAGCTACAAGTATGTTGCTTTAACTCTTCATTTCACATCGAGTATAGTGATCGTGTTAGATTATTGGCATTTTGACACTACTAGTGTAAAACTTCATTTTGGACAAAAATTACTAATGTTTCTTTCTAGAATAATGGTTGTTGAGTCAGACTCACAATCGTACTGGACACGAGTACTCGAGTTCGAATAACATAGATAATAGGTCAATATCAAAAATGTATTGAGATGGATAGATGTGCAAATAATTTGAGACACACAAGCAAGTAATTAGTGAATAGAGTCTAAGAATGCGAGGTAATATGAGATGATTGAATTATTATATTATACTCCGTAGTTTTTAATAGTACAAATAAAAAATTGTTACTCATTAGATTTTGGAAGGATAAGGTATTGAAGAAAATGTGACTCATTAGTCTTCAATTTATTAATATCCTATTGATCCCATTTTTGTGGTACGGAATTAGTATTATAATTGTGATTAATTATAGAACTTTGTATGTCATTAGGACAATTATAGTATAATTATGACAAAGAGAGATTATGTGATCTTTGAGGCTTAAATTTCTCCAAAGAGAAGGGACACGTCGCCTATGTTATAAACTGAGGACGGCACCGAATCCTGTTGACTTCCGCTTTATGTCAGCCTCATTTCCTTTATATAACCCCCTTGTACTCCTCATACGGACCCTACAACACTTTTGCTTCATCTTTAACATACATTTTTTTTTCTCTCAAAAACTGAAAAAAAAAACTCCCTACTATTTTCTCTCTCTACAAAAAAGTTCTTAATCTTTAGGACACTTCAAAACTATAATCTTAAATTTTAAAGGACATACTCTTAAATCTTAATCTCTCATCATGGGTAGAGCACCTTGTTGTGATAAAAATGGTTTGAAGAAAGGTCCTTGGACTCCTGAAGAAGACCAAAAACTTATTGATTACATTCAAAAACATGGTTATGGCAATTGGCGAACTCTTCCTAAGAATGCTGGTAAGTTTCATTTGTTCATTTCTTCCATGTATCCATTGTAATTCCACAGAATTAATAAATGAATCATCGCTATCCCGGTTCTTGGGGTTGTTAGCTCCCTTCTTGGGATGCAGACATTGTATAGATGATGTTGAAAACTAAAATATGTGTCAACAAGTTTTTAGGTATGTGTGTTGATGCATATGAACTAAAATGGACTTTTGTTCGTATTGTGTAGGACTTCAAAGATGTGGGAAGAGCTGTCGTCTACGGTGGACAAACTATCTCCGACCAGACATCAAGAGAGGAAGATTTTCCTTTGAAGAAGAGGAGACCATAATTCAGCTCCATAGCATTTTGGGGAACAAGTATGTCTTTTTTTTCTTATCTTACTAAAAAACATAAATGAGTGTACTAAAAGTTTTTACAAAAAAAATGTCCAATATTTCTTCTTTGGACCACTGTAGAGATGTAGATATAAGATTCATGCACGGAAAAATCTATACTAAGGTCACAATCATCACAATGAAACTTTTGATTTTCTTAGCTTGTGTCTAATCTTGCTTCTTTCTTTGACTGTCAACAGATGGTCGGCTATCGCAGCTCGCTTACCAGGACGAACTGATAATGAAATCAAGAATTATTGGAACACCCACATCAGGAAGAGGCTTCTAAGGATGGGAATCGACCCCGTGACCCACAGCCCTCGCCTCGACCTCTTAGACCTCTCTTCATTGTTGAATAACTCATCCTTTTACAACAACACTTCACAATCATCCCAAATGAACATGTCTAGGTTACTTGGAATGCAACCTATGGTGAACCCTGACCTCCTAAAACTAGCTACCTCACTTCTCTCAAATCAACGCCAAAACCTACAAGATTACCAAGGAAACAATGATTTTACTAGCAATGCCCAAATGCAAAATAACTTTAACCCAATGGTACAAACTAGTCAAATTCAAACCCCAATTCAAAATCCTCTCCCAACTTGTACTACTATGACGACTACTGCTGCTACTACTGCTAATACCGCGATTACAACAATAGATGCTACTCGTCCTTGTGTACCATACTTCGACGAAGCTCAATTGATGGAGCCTAATTTTGAACAATATCCTACAAGTATTTCGAACTTTGATGCACAAAACTTTGATCAGTGGCAAAGTAGTGGTTTGCCTATGTCGGATGGCTTGGTTAATATTCAACCTACAAATTTCGGCTATTATGGTTCTGATCAAACTTTCATGGACCCTTCACTGTCTGATAATTCGACTTTTCAATCAAACATAAGTTCACATTCAAACTTCATGAGCTATGCACCATCAGTTATGTCAACTCCATCTTCAAGTCCTACACATTTGAATTCGGGTTCGAATTCAACTACATATGTCAACAGCAGCGGGACAGAAGATGAACCAGAAAGCTATTCCAGTGACATGATTAAGTTTGAAATCCCTGATTTTCTTGATGTAAATCAGTTTTTGTTAGCTCAAACCAACTGATCATGTAATATATTTTTCTTTTAAATAGGATTTTTTTTTAAAAATAGATTTTCTTTCATTTAGTTTAACAAGTTTATTTTAATTGTATACATACTGTATAATTTTATACTTTATGTAATTTTCAGCTGATGAATGCATAAAAATTCAGTATATCCATCATATCTCACTTTGTTTTTGCCTTCATTGGAAGGTTCCCATGATTGGATTTATAGCAATTGATATCGATGGTTTCTTCTCTTAATTTACTTTGTGGCTTTATTTTTCCACAACTCAAGTACCATTTTCTTGAAATTAGATACTGAATTAACATATATGATGTTGATTAATTACTCACAACATGTGAGATGTGTCATCTTTCCCAGTCTTTTTTGTGTCAATAATCCTTAATTAATTAATTAAAACTCCGTATGAATATTTTGTACTAATTATAAACTATAAATGACTATGATGTAGTCGAGATTACTACAATCTCAAGTTCTCAACTAATAATGATATAATCGGGACTTAATACGATCTCATATCTTAGATACTACTCATACTTAAGAAATTACAAACCCATCTGGCATCATAAAATATACAGAGTACGTGTATATTGTTACTCTAGGCATGCATTATTAATACGCAATGTTCCATGCGATTAATTAAGTAATTATTATATTAAACAAAGTTAATGGATTCCGTAAATCAATGTCGTCTTATTCCCAGCTGGCAAACCTAATATGGTATTCTTTAACGGCAAACAACCTATAAAAAGCAAGAACATATCTAAGATTCATATTTTAAATAATCATACACTTCCATAATAGTGTATATGATGTCTTTATAATTATTGGAAACACCGCTGCCAGAATGAAAAAGGGTCACTTTTTTTTCATTTATTTTGTTGAAAATTTTCTTTTTTTTCCTATTTAAATCTGCCTTAATTCAGTGTAGAATAATGAATAATATCCGTGTAATAATTAATTAATCATAGCGAATTATTGTTGTTGTAATCAAGTGTTAAGTCCATATCATTTTTGGTCATCTTTCTTCTTGTATCTATAATCTATATAATAATTGAGGCCTTTAATTTAAATTGTATAAGACTTTTTTCCTTTAATTTTTTTTTTTGGAAAAATCGAGTTCAAACATAATAATAAAAAAAATAATAATAAAATAAAAAAGATATACTTCATGTATGTGTTAGAGGACCAACTCAACCAAAAGCTTAAGCTGATGGTTGAGGCCCAGGAATATGTTATATACTCTATCAGTATGTACCAAATTTTTGAAAAAACAAATTACTCCATGAATATATATTCTACAAAGACTAACAATATAATAGTAAAAAAATAATTCAAATAATGACTATTTAACTTCAAATCAACTTACACTTTAGGCCAATAATGTAGCCAACCCAAAACCACAAGTTCACAACTATAAAGAATCAAGTTCCACAACTCACATTTCTTCATTAATTAAATTAGCTAGTAAAACAAGCTTATGGTTATTTTGTTTTAGCTAGCAAGTATCACAATAACTAATTTTGTCCACATATATTAGCTAAATAAGTAATAGTCTAGAAGAGTCATATTTCAATGCATTTTCTTGCTTCGTTTATTATTTTTTAAGAAAGTAGTGAAATAAACTCTTTTTTTTTTTTTTTTTGAGTGACATAAACAATTCTAGCTAGGGAGTAATATTGAAGAAAAGAATCATTAATAATGACCATTGACTATTTTTACCGTTTGAATTTCTTGACTTGATTGAAATGAATAATAGTGATCGTGTTAGTTAACATTTGCTCCCTTATTTGTTTTTGTTGTTCTCATTATCTTTTCACACAATTCTTAATGTACTTATTTGAATATTACTATCATAAAAGATATTAAAAGAAAATTAAACAAATATGCTCTATTTGTGTTTTGATAAGTGATATAGTTTGACTTTTTTTTACTATTCATATAATTTAATGATTTTGACTTAATTATTTCACTAATTTAAATAAATAAATGTTATTGTATTATATATTGTTGGATTCTTCATAATGTATACTTTCATAATATTATATTTTTTTAAAATAACTTTAATAACATATAATTAGGTTAATTAATAGTCAAAGTTGTGTCTCGACATGCGTGTTTAGTTAAATTGTAACACTTAAAAAAAACATTGAGAGAGTAGAAACAGATCTACAATACAAGATTATGTGCAGACAATATATTTTTTTATACATATATGAAGGATATATATACCAATGAATATTCATGGTAAAAAAATTTCTCTTTTCAAATAAATTTTTTCTTATAGGGCTAAAAATATCTAGGTGGTATAACTTTATTAATTAAAGAATACAAGTATACTACTAGTGAGAACTAGTAAGAAGTCATTGCTCCATATGTATTAAGTCACAAGTCAAAAGTAATTCCTTTGTACACCTTGCTATATAAGTGAATTATAATAGTAATAAAATACGACAGGTTTCACGGACACCGGCAGTGAGTCCCCGGCGACCTCGCCGGAGACAGCACGTGATTAGGACACGTGTCCGACCACCTATGAAATTACTGCCTAATCACGCTTATGCATTAAATTAAAATATAATACTCCTAATTAGTTTATAATATATGGTTTAAAATAATATAATTTTTGTACTACAATAATTTGTCTGTTGTCCCTTTGAAAAAAGATTATCTCAATTGGAGGTGAATTATTTGACTAATGCAATGGCACGTGTATTATGTTAAGAGGTGACAAATTATTATTATTGGACCACTTTTTCTTAATTGTTAAAGGGGCAAAAAAAAAAATTTAAAAAAAAAAGTTTTTGACTTTATTGAGATTTAAAGATGTGGCGTGTGTCTTGTGCTGGAGTTTTAAGGCTCTTTTTTTGCTGTTTTTAATTTATTTATTTATTTATTTTTGTAGAAAACTAGCCATTTAATAATATTCACGGGTTAATTACAGTACTACCGAGTACTTTTAAAATTGTAGGAGTTAATTACAAATTTACAATAGCAAAACATATACCGTACTATTAATTAGTGAATTACAGGAGTAATACGATAACTCACTGTAATTTACTTTATGTATTAATTTTGGATTTAAAATATAATTTGATGAAATGTTATTTTAATAGCTACTATATGTATTTCATTATAATACAAAGTATACCATAAAGTTGTCAAAACTATCCTTAGCTTCATTGTTTACTAGCTACATACTTGCATTACATAAAGTTATCAAAATTACTACGTATATAATTCATCATTTCACTTCTACTATCATTGTTTGATAACATTGTTAAGCGTATTTTAGATTGTATTTTGTTTTTAAAATTGTCACTTAATCAACCATAAATCACTTTTACAATTGAAAGTTCTTTGTATGCATCTGATCAGAATATGCTTTCTTTCTTAAATTTCTACTTAGATACACCACATAGATTTATTATTTGCATGCATTTAATCAATACAAATAATTAAGTACTAGTTAAATTTAAACTACCTTTTAATCTTACAGAAAAATCAAACTTGCGTCCAGCTTACTCTATTCAATGTAATCTCAACTCATTCCACTAAGATTACTTAATAAAACTCTTAGCTTCACAAAAAGATCATACTAAAATCCAAATAAAACAAGAAAAATGATAAACATAGCTCTTAGGGCTATGTATAATAAACTAAAATAGGTTACACCAATCTGCGTGATTTTGTCATGAATTCCCAACTTAATTCCATTTTAGGAAAGATATTTAATGCTTATATATAACCCTAATGGCTACTTATATCATTATCCATAAAACAATTCGAATTATACAAGAGTCAAATATATGCTACGTAAAATTTCACCAAAAATGCCAAATACTAATTAGTCTTTCTAAAATTTACTTATGAGTTATGTCTAAATAATATACTTTGTTTTATTGGTTAAAGACCTTAAAAGTCTACATATAAAAGATTGGACTCTCTTCATTTGTTGTATAGTTGAAATAATAAGCGGAAGATTGTTATTGAATTTTGACTTTGTAATTGTACGGATACAATACGTGGCTGCGCTAATCCAACTTTCTTGGCTTATTGGCTGCAAAGACATACACACTTTCTAATTACTAAATTACCGTAACATAATTTAGTTCTTAGAACAATTTTAAGTTATAATTTTGCTCAATTCGGATCCATAAAAAATCATAGTATGTAGAAAAAAAAGATTTGAACGAATGATAAAATTTACTCAATATCTTTTGGTATATTTCGGCTGGATAAATAAGGAGGCCGAATGAATGTCTTGCTTACATAATTTATTTTTCTAGTGTTACTTGCTTACTTATATAATTGTGATTATTAAATTGCATTATTTATAAATTTGTATAATACAGACTGTATGATCATTTGCACGCATGACACAAAAAATTATCACCATTGAATAATCCCTTGTAATTATGGGGTCATTTTATAAAGAAGGGTATTATACGTTGTCATCGTATACATATATGTTACGGAGTATGCTTAATAGGTTTTTTTTTTTTTTTTTTTTGATGTTTAGAGCTGAGAGTCACAAAAGCACATGATGAGAATTAATTCGAGGATCATCATAATCGGGAGGGATGTTTTAATTATTTGAGCTATCTCTCACTCTCTGTTATGCTTAACAGTTAATAGTATGAGTCCCTTTCTAAGAATGAATAGTCAGTTTGAACTTTAAGTTTATTTTTCTATGTGAGAAGTCATCACTAAGGTGCTACCTAATGATAGGTTATGGCCTAACCTAATTTTATAATTAATGCAACATAATATAGGGTAATTAACTTTCATAATTAAATTGACTCGTACATTATGAAATGATTTATGTAGGAAAATGAGGGGACATTACTATCACACGCATATCATAAATTGTCTTAATCTTAATCTATTACTATTACACGTGCCATTTGTACTTAATTAACTACTGTATTTATATGTACCATACACATTTTCTCTATTGACTCAAAGTATCAAAGAACTTCTAGTAGATCTTTAGATCGATATATATTTGTTGATTTTAAAGTTATAAAGATATGGATAGATATATGTAAATCAAATTTTACTACATACTTCATATCAAAGTGTTACATATTTTACAACACTTTACCAACAAAATTTATATCATTGGATTCCAACTCATAATTTAATTTCATACAGTATAATTTGTTAT